CCTTATCAATATGTCATTCTACTTGTTTAGATGAACTGTTTATTTTTTCGTGAAAAAGGCATTTTTTCAACTGAAAACTCAAGTTCAAAGTTGCAGATTGACTAGGTGAGAAACGAGGAAAACGTCAAATCCATGCTATGGAAAGAGCTCGTTTTGTGACAGCGGCGACATGCATATGCAAGACTGAATTCCAATCAGACCCAACTGAGCCTTCCGTTTCCCCTAGCGTCATCAAGAAAAAAAACTTGTCTCCATTTTCTTCTTTTCCTTTTCACCATGAAACAAATATGCTTCCTAGAGTGTCTTTAGAATTCTGGGAAGAAGTCTGATGGGTGTTGCATGACATGATGAAGACGAAGTTTTTATCCGTTATCTTTATGAATGAGCCGAGGTAATGTTGTGACAAGTGACGAACGATCCCAATAGTATTGAGTCCAGGGAATAAATCCCCGATCAACACGCACCTAGTCAAGTAAAGTATTCATGCTCCCCTCGGAGGTCATGATGGTATTAGGCTTGTCTGGGAAGTGACAGAGCTGATTCGCTGTTGGCTGCCACCCACAAGCCATTGTATAGACCACGTGCACATTAAAACGTCCCTGCGATTTCGAATGAAAGTCGAATGCTGGGCACAAAATGAAAAGGGAAGATTGGTTAAAGTCAAAAGGCCTGTTCTCTATTCATCAAAGACACAGATCACCATAGTGTTGAGGTACCCTTTTCAGGTAGAGAAATGGAACTGTTGATGTAGAGGAGTAAATCGGTGACGAAGAAAGCAAGAGATTCCGCCTACTTCAAGACTTTTTAAAAGTAGTGGAAGTGGATGTTGTACGAGATCGCCGTTACAGTAACGGCATGTGGAGGGTGGTTGGACGAGATTCAACTTGCTTCCATCGTGCAAGGAGCTGACTACGTCAAGCCGAAATTGTCCAAGACTGCTTTTCACTGTTGCCATGGGTTATAATAAATTGTCTGAACTTTCATGGGAGTCTTTTCAGCTAGTGCAGCCTCTACAAAGCCGTTTAGAATCCTCCATGATTGGTGTGGCATTCACACGATACAATATCTGGCCCTTTATTGTGCCCCGTCACGGACGTTTTTCGACCTTTTAAGGGCAGGTATGGCATAAGGGGAGCCTTGAACTCCTTGAGCCATACTACAAAGGAATCTCAGAAACCATTTTTATCGTGAACTGTGGTTTTAAATCTCTTTGGATTATCAAATTCCTTCAAGTGAAATCCGTTAGTCGGTCATTTGCATTTGCAGACATAATGTTCTTCGTAATATTTGGACCAAGGCAGAAGTGGTGTAGTAGCAGGAGAAGCACTATCACACACGCATATCCATCCCGGATCCACACCCGTCTGGTACAAAGAAGCCTTCCATCCCATTGGGATCGATGAACTGGTATCAGACTTGTCGGGGAGGATAATGCACTGACTTGTACATCGGCTGGCCACCGCAATTCATTGTATAGATCACATTCGCATTCAATACGCCGATACGATTCTGAATGGATGTCGAAAGCGTGGGCGCATTCCTCAGACGGGGTTGTCTAGCAACAAAAGACTTCAACATATTCTCAATTTTCAGGCTCCAAGGATATTCCAAAATTATTCCAATTGAATCAATTTCGTAAGAGTAACTATATGAAAAAACTGACGTTCGCGAACAGTTGCCGGTAACCTCACCCCGGAAAGAGCTTCGAGAGCTTATACCGCCGTTAGATTAAAATGCAAAGGATAATATTTCCTGGTGTTGATCAATCCCATGCATTCAGATTTTCGTTGAGAACCTTAGAAGCATTTTGAACATTGGACCTACACAGTGACTGCGGTGGCCAGCCGATGTACAAGTGAGCGCTTTATCCTCCCAGACGAGACTGATGCAAGCTAACCAACTCCAGAGGGATGGAAGAGTTGGGTTGCCAGACATTCCCCCCACCCCTCACCCTACCGAGTAGTAACTTTTTGGTATCTTACCATCGATAAAGCCTTCAGTAAGTTGAAGGGACTGTTTTGGATAGCTATATGAGAGAAAAAAGGTTCAAAAATGAAAAAAGGCTCTACGACTGAATACTGACGTAATGAAGGAAATGAATGAATGGGAATGGCTCGTAAACAGGTGCTGAGTTATTGATGTGAGGTAGTCTAGCTCATTGGTATTCCAACTGATTAAAAAATGGCATTGGAAAGGAAGGCTGGAGCCTGGTAAGGAACGGAACGGAAAGAAGGAACGAAAACAGAAACATTCCGCTTCAAAGCTGAATAGTTTATCATCAGTAGGAACGGATTGCGCTTCACTCTAATACCTAGTAAGGCCATTGACTGACTTAGACGGACTCTGCGATGTGCACATCTCTAAGCCTTTTGAGCGTCAAAGGCCACTTAAGCGGTGCATACATATATTATTCGTGCACATCGCCAGCAGACTGCCTCAGGCAATCAAGATGGGTGGCCTGAAAGAGGTTTTCTTNGGGGGGGGGGGGGGGGGGGCAGTGGCTCAGACTTCTAATTAGCTGAGTGTTTTGGCATATTCGTCGTCAATCAGTGGCTGTGGTGCGAAATATTGCCAAACAAACCACTTCAATTCACCTTGTCTCAAGTATCATTTTCAGCTTACATTTAGGAGGCTATACTACTCCCTGTTGGTATGCTACAAGTAAAAATGGGAAAGAAATTTGAAAGCTAGACATGGAACGGGCTCTAAAAAGAGGAATAAATTCTGGTAAATATGAGGTTTTACCTCTTTGGCTTCATACGGTGTAGGATCGAGCTAAGGCTAACAGAGGCTCCGTTTAATTTATTGCTTGTTTAACGGCATTCATCGGAGATTGTCGATTCAATGTCTCTCTTCATCACCCAGTTGTATCGACCAGGCTTCAACATGGGGTTAAGTTAAGAGTAACAAGTAGATGCTTCATAATGGCAACCGATGATCCTATATGAATCGTGGAGGAAAGGAAGAAAAGGGAGAACGAAAGGAATGCTGAGCCTCGCGTCCCGGGAGCGAGGACGATTCAAAGGACCACTCTGGCTCGTGACAGGGACGAACAGAAACGTTACTGGCATCCATGAGAGGAAATCGATTATTGACGGGAAAACAGGTGATGAAGGTGACACAGGTGAGTCGCGAAGGATCAACGTTTTCGAGAATGGAGGACTTCTGTAGACGTTGGGAGAATACAAGGAGGTTCTGAATGCACTGGAGCTTGCGGACAATGCATAGCAAATGTGGTTTCCATCAAAATCGGGAATATTAAATCTGCTATTTCCTTAATCTCTTAATGTTCGGTTCCACTTAGTTCATTGTCTACTGAGGTTTACTTGGGTCTATGATTCCCAGGAGCCCCCTAAAGGCCAAGAATGAACAAAATGCTAGGTAATACGGAACAATCCGCAGCTAGTGAGGTACTGTACGTTGTAGACCGAAATACGGTAACACCCTTGCTTAGTGACCTATGACCCAAGCAGAAGACTTTAGAAAAATATCCAGGAAGGTGCGAAAGGAGAGATGTTTGGACGAGTTATTCGTTCACTGTTTATGTTACGTACGCATCGCCCTTAAGAACTACGAGGCTGATAGAGCTCAGTTCTAACGTAATCAAGTTGATCCAGTTAACCAACTTTAAAATTTATTTATTCCCTGGCTTGATTTAATTTTATTTCAGTTCAATCAAATTACTTTCCTTAAATGGCGTTCATGTGAAGGCGACAGTTTTCTTTCTTCCTAGACCTTACGAGAACTTTTCAGCACGAAAATGTCCCCTTCCTTATCAATTATTCTGCTCACAGAGAACTTTCGCAGTAGGTTATCTAAGATGTAGAATTTGTCAGTAAGCTTTCCAGAGTGCACTTATTAAACGACTCTCATCCAGACTTGTGAACGCATTACTATTCACCCTTCTTTTATTACATTCTAGCGTGCTCGGGTAGGGTAGGGGAAGCCTTCGTAGCCACTCATCCAGCTTGAAATCAAACCACTTCCAGTCATCCTTTGCTGTTGCAATCACTTCCTATCTACGCAGGCTTATGAAGAACGATACTCAATAGCCTCTTGAAGAGGACTTGATTTGTATGCAGAGAAGTGGTGCAATGACGGAACAAATCATTTGCATCTGCAAATGTGCAAAGTGACGAATTGTACGAGTCCATGGCGACAAAAGCGATGTTTGGACGAGATTACAGCACCCAGAGAGCAGCAAGTGTTAGCTCATGGCGCCTATCAGGGGCTGCTTTCATAGTTCGCTGGCCGGTCCGCGAGCGCGCCGGCCGCGGTGCTACACGGGCGCGCCTTTGGACTATGAAAACAGCCAATCGACTGCAATTACAACAAACATGCTCTATTTCAGATTATGTCAGCATCTCAATGCTCTAGACACGTTCTATCTCAGGATTATTGAACATCAGTGGACGTCGGCATTGGTTTTTACCCCTTAATGCTCCCTGATATGATCTTTCCAGTTGTACAAGGATCCATACGGACTACGGCCTTGCTATGGCCCCATTTGGCCTAGGGCCTTGTTAGATTGAGTCGATAGGGCATTTTCGTATTTTTTAATAGTATACTGTGTCTTTAAATGCAGCCCAATCACCTACTAGCATTTTTCAAAGCTGCGCCTTTCCACTTGCAGCTTGGTAGGTGACTTGAGTCACCAATAATTAATATGTAGTGAGGACACCTGACAGTACTCGTTGAATGTATAGCTCTGGTTCGTTACTGTACAGCCTACAGCCAGGAATGGCTCGTAGCCTTCGGGTGTGGTGCGTTAGGAACGAAATGGTCGCGTCGCGGTGAGAGGGNGGGCGTCGCGCGCGAAGGAATGTAGCAGGATGCAGCAGTGGGTATGAAATACAAGAACAAAAGTACCAATAGTAGAATTATGCTAAAATAATGATCGCATAACGATTGAGCTGTACGAAGAACGCTAGAGCTGTAATAACGGCAAATGAGTGGCCCGCGACAGCCGCGTGCGGCAAATCGATTATCCAAAATCGTTCCTGAAATGGCTGAAAACGTAGGGAATAAAGAGAATAGAGAGATATTGCTTTTATGATATTTTTTATTCAGAAAAGATCAATACTGCACAATTGAGGTAGAGAAGTGAGTAGCTCCGTAACTGAGGATCAAAATGGTCTTAAGTGGAATGCTAAATGTCGTCGATTAGTGTTGCATAAAGCAAAACCACACAGCGTAAATAACGGCAGGTATCCAAAACAGGAAGCAAAGGATTATATCGATAAGCACTGGCATACCGCAATCCTTCGAATGCCAATAGATGGCCAGAGGCTGAAATAAAACTTACTGAAATACCTTGCATTAAAAATAAAAGATGTAATAAACGAGAAAACAATGCTTATATGCATAAATCTCTCCTGTTTCTGGAATGTGCCAATGCCCTTACCTTCCCTTTGAACTCGCAGTGACATATGATAGCGTATGTAGCCTATACAATGGCTTGCAGCAATCCAGCCAATACATAAGCCAGTGCTTTCATCCTTCCAGACTGGTCTGATACCGATTACCCGATCTCAAAGGGATGGAAGGCTCGATTGGCTTGGGCAGGCATCAATCAGCGATTCGATCCCCGAATCATGCCTGAGATAGTGCGCCACCCACCATCTCCCAGAAGGTGGGACCCCTTTTAGAGTTTTAATGGGTCATTCAATCGAATCCCATCCAGGATCGAGTATTGGCCCCGTATTTGGCTCCAATATTGTTTTTATCATAGTGATACCAAGATGACACTACAGCCT